GACCGCTGATTCGTCCGTTCCCAAAATCTAAGTTGCATAAGGGTAAATCCAGCAGTTCGTTAGTCACATACCCAAACATCACTCAAGACTTGACGAAGGGTACAACAGGAATCTTTTATTCTGGCCAGATGGACTGCTTTTATACACATCAGGGATACAGTCAAACATGCCCATAACACTCCCCCAACATGCCCATGAATTTCTTAGTAAGGATGACTGTGCATTAAATATTATAATTACATAAAAACACATATAAGACGTAGAGGAACCCCATCAAATATTATATCCCCGGATAGCTTAGATCTGAGTATCCAAGTTGTCCAAATAGCGCTCAGATCCTACAAATACAGCCGAATCGCCACCAGGGTAAAGTTTTGTCATATTTGGGAGTACCAAACCGAACAAAAAGATGAATGGTTCCCCTGGCTCATAGGTAGTGTTTGTTCGCCTTATTCGTGCAAACAAAACTACCGAACAGTGCTTTCCTGGCTTGTGGTAGAACGAAGCAGGTGTTTGTGAAGTTTGACCAGTGTTCGCACGGTCAAGTGTCCGACTTGGAGTTCCAGGCACTTAACAACTAAGTCCCGCTGCCTGCTATCGTGCGACAAGATGGCCGCCGTTTTCTCCAGCACGTGTTGCTCGGTTATATGAATGGCTGCCCCACAGGTAGAACACTTAAGTCTGTGGTTTCTTTGAACTTAATGAGCCAGGGAGGTGGTCGGTGTTCGGTTGATTTATCTACCGAACGTAGGAAAAATAACTTGGGGAATAAAGTATATAGTTTTGTCACACTTTTTAAACCACAAATTCCATAAACTGAGCTGTAGTGGTTATTATGCTTACTCTGCCCTTTTAAGCATGGTTTAAAGAGGCCTGAAAAGTGTTAGACCTTAATTTCTATCCGGTTTTCTGCCTGCTATCATATTTTTTTTTGTCATACTCTGTAATTCATTAGAAGATGGATTAAATACAACTATACAGAATGCACCCAGCCCTGGTTCGATTCTAAAAGTGTGCAATATTTGTTTACAATTAATGAAAGGAGGAGAAGCACTCTCATGGACCAGGACAAAAATCATTGTTGTATATGTTTAAGGAACACTATAGGGTCAGGCATACAAACGTGTATTCCTGACCCCATACTGTTAAAAAAATTAGTTTAGGCCCATAACACCCCTTGCCCTCTTTAAAAATGTTTAAAACTCACCTTTATTCCAGCACCCTGACCCTCGATCCTCCACCTTGTCTGACATCATCAGAATTGGTGATCTTAGCCAATCCAATGCATTGCCATAGGAAAGCATTGGATTGGCTGAGATTATCAATTTTGATGATGTCAGCCAAGGAGGTAAGGTGGTGGCGGGAACATGCATCTCTATGCATCAATGCATCTCTTTGAGGAAATTTCAGCATCTCCATCCGAAAAGGCAGTGTTTACATTAAAATCCCTGCAGGAACAGGCTTTAGACACCAGAACAACTGCATTGTAGTTGTGATGGTGACTATGTGTCCCTTTAAGTTTATTATTATTATTTGGACATTGTCCACAATCCATCAGAAACGGATGTAATTTCACAAATTCTGGGTAACTTTGAGTGTCTGCCATTTTCTCCTAGATCACTTTAAAGTAATCAGTCTGTTAAATATAAATCCCTAATTTTGTATTTTATTTGCACTATATCTGGACCTGTGTTTATTTATGATAGGTTTTTTTATTGTAGATTTAAATCACTCCTTATAAAGCTATAACTCTAATTATAAATACACACAACAATAAAAACCATGGACAACCAGAACAAAGAAATACTGTAATAATGACAACATATAAAGTAAAACATTGGTCATAAACTATCCTACAATCACCAAAATACAAGTCTCTGTAGATGAGTAACCCTAAATCTATTACATTTTTTAAATTATGTGTATTTTTGTGAAATTGAAAAAATGATTAAATGATTTTATAATAAGTGCATAATTCTATGATAAGGTCAACAGTGAGATAAAATCATAGGCATTAATACTGAGCTGACATCTCCCCCATTGCAGTTATAACAATTTGGCTCAAATGGGAAATATATTTTCCAATTGTGTTCTTGAATACCTTTGTACTCTGTTGGGGTTCTTTATTGTTAACACATATTATTTCTTCAGTACTACAGAAATCAGCTCAAATTTACCTTTTCTAGAGATGATTATGTTTGTAAAGGTCTGGATTGAGTATGATGTGTCACAATATAGGTGAAAAGGCAAGAGACAGAAGTGTATTACTAGTCCTTCAAACTGGACGGTCTTAACAAGTCCCCAAAGAGGTAAAAATTGGAGCAACTTCTAACAAGTAATTGGAGTAAATGCGTAAACTTAAGCTAGTAATACAGAAGCTAATATTGTCAGGAAATAAGCCAAGATTAGGAATGCCAAAAACATATGACAAAACATATTCAAGAAACATGGAAACCACCAAACATCAAAATAGAGAAAAATCAAAAAGCAAGAATAAAATAACTCTTGGGCTAAACATAATCACCACATGGCAGTGGGATCTGGGGGTTTGATTTTAAAAATAAATGTACATGCAAAATATAAAATGGGATGTGTTACCCATGGAATGTGCATCTTGGTTCTACTGGTCTCCATGATGACTGCCCAACTTTAAACCACTGTTTATAACAGGACACTCTGTTAAACCTCTTTGAATGAATTATTGCAAGGCAATGTTTGGCTCCAGAATGACTCCACAAAGATAACTTTTTAAATGGACTACTGTGTGCAATGGTGGGTTATGTGGCAATGTAGGCAGCACCATGATGACACACTGAAGAAGTAGAGATTGCAGAGAGGTTTCATCTTAGGGCAGGTAAGCTGGGACTCTGTATCCACATTATTACATTTAATCAATTCCTGATTAAAATGGGAAAAATTTATTCCAATTCTTTGAGTACATTTTGCCACATTCCCATTCCAAACTGTGCACAGAAATATTAGATGAGGGGAAATATACACACAGTGCAACTCTATGAATAATTAAAGCAATGGAGGATAATACTCATTATTTTAGATAGGTCTGTCACCACAAATAACCCTTTATGTTAATCTATAGTGCATGAGACAGGTTACCATAATTAATTAATGTTTTGAGCTAATTTTAACAGACTTGTAAAAATATAATTACATTAACAAGCAAGAAATGTTAACTACCAGTAAAAGCAGGTATTGTAGTAAATGCATTACAGGTATAACTCGTAAAATATGCTACAACGATGTAATAAAACATAAACTTAGCAAACAGTTTGAAAGAGATCCTTAAATTCTCCCAGTTAATTGCTATGTTGTAAACGCAAAAGATAATTAATAAAAAGAGTTTTTTAAAGTAAAGTAACATATGGTGATCAAAATATTGTAGCTATAAACCTGTAAACATAGTGTGTTTGTTATAACATATTCATTGTCAAACTTTTATTTATGTTCGACAGATTCACATGTGTGCATATGTGCAAGTGTTTTCATGCAGGTGTTGACATAAGCAGCTTTAGGACTGTATATTACCTCACCGGGAAAATCTCCCAGAAGTCACATGAAAGATATTATGAGACAGCTAAAGTGCAGACTGGCACCATAGCATTGAGAGCATTTTATAACAAATAGTTCCACAAAAGCATACACGGATCAATAAATAAATAAAAGATAAAATTACTAATTTGTTTTTGAGATAGGATATATATTTCTTTGCAGCTTAGTGAAATAATTTTTATGAAATAAAGACAGCTCAGGCAACAGTTGATATTTTTGTAGATATTATTCCAATAAATAAAAATATGCAATAAAAATAAAATATAGCACCTACCTGTTATTATACTGGATAATAATAGTTTGGTCAAAGTATCCTTTTCAGTCCGTGATAATTTATTGTACAAGCGATTTCATGTCGGTCTTTTCTAGCCATGCATACTGGGTCGAAGGATTATCAATGTATGACCACAGATATAGAATTTTTAATATTTAAATTTGGATTGAGGGACAGATCCTTCACTTTAACAATGACATGCTGGGAGAGTGGTGGTTACTTGTAGGCTGCACAAGATCTCAAAACCAAAACCAGTAAACATTTAATTTCTTACTGCAAATAAAAAGTTGAAAATCAAATATTGATGCTTGAGCTTACGGTATAGTGACTAGGGTTAGGATCAAGTATTGACACTTTTAGTAGTTAGGGTTTATGATTAGAATTATGGCATTAGGGATGCAGAGGTTAGAGTTATGGCATAGTGGTTACCGTTTGTGGTAAGGATAACCACTATGTTTGGTTAAGGGTTTGGTTTGTGGGGTTAGGATTAGGGTTGCTGCTCAGATTACCGTGACACTACATGGAATCACCATTGATGAACAAGCAAAATTTTTTAAGCGCATTTGCAACTCAATAACATTATTTAGGTGTATTTTTGTAAATTGTTAGTGTGCTGATGCAATGTGAGGTCTGTCTGAGAATTCAATTGGTAGATTGGATAAACTGTCTAAAAATTAATTCCTGGGGGACTACCAGTTAATAGAAGAAAATCTCACTCTATGGGTGATAAGAGCAGAGGTGATGAACACACTATAGAAGAAACCGTCTTACCTTCACCTGTGTTGCAATGTGGTCATGGCTCCAAAGGATTGTGGTTGTATCTGATGCTTTTCTGTTCAGCATATTCTTAAAAGAGATTGTGATTGGAGCAGCCGAGCTGAATGGCCGCATACAACAAGAGCTCTGCACATCTGATCTCTATATACCTCTCTGAGGACCCTAATACCGAGACAATAATGGCTGGGGAAGCCCCCACAAGCAAGGGGAAGCATGAGTAAGATGCAAAAAAAAAGAGGCTGAACTCCAAAAATATTGGGGACTTAACGAGGCAGGCAAATGTCGCGGAAGGGCCTAAGATGGCTGATTATCCTGAGGCCTACTCCAAAATCTCAGATGACATGTCCCCAGAGGAGGAGGTAGAGGTTTTCCCTGTAACTCCATGACTAGCGCCAAAACTTACTGGACAAGACAACTTTCCATGACTACTGCGGTGCTAAAAGCGCTCCGGGCAGAGAGTTTCCAGATGGATGTAGCATTACTCCGTACTGACCTGCAGGGCCTATCGGGCAGACTAGTGATGGTGAAAGCAGCATGCAGGGACCAAGCACTGCAGATTGCAACATTACGGAAGGCAGTCAAGAAGCTCCAGCAGCAAAGTGAGATGAGTGAACGCTGCTTCACCACCTTCAAAGGAGGTGCAAAAACAACATCAAAATATGGGGTAGCTTGCAAGAGGTACCGACCGCTGTACTTCCACATTTCCTGAGGCGCCTACTAGTAGCTCTACTTACCCAAAGACAGGGCAAAGTAATTGGAATCGACTGATCGACAGAGTACTTAAGTATCCTTGCGCACCAGATAATGTGCCAAGAGATTTAGTTCTCCAAGTGCAAAGTGGTAAAGATATGGCAGCAGTGCTGATGGGTGTCAGAGAACACACTCCATAAAGATTTGAAGACATGTCACTCATGTTTTTCTCTGACCTGTCAGGGGGCACCCTAGTCTGTCAAAGATGAGAGAAGGAGATTCTCAGCCAAAATTTGATCATACACGTCCATCATCCTTTTGATGCGGTGCAGTTGTCCTGTCCCCTTAGCAGATAAACACGCCCAAAGCATAATGTTTCCACCTCCATGTTTGATGGTGGGGATGGTGTTCTTGGGTTCATAGGCAGCATTCCTCCTTCTCCAAACACGGAGAGTTGAGTTGATGCCAAAGAGCTTGATTTTGGTCTTATCTGACCACAACACTTTCACCCAATTCTCCTCTAAATCATTCAGATTTTCATTGGCAAACTTCAGACGGGCCTGTACATGTGCTTTCTTAAGGAGGGGAACCTTGCAGGCGCTGCAGGATTTCAATCCTTCATGGCGTAGTTTGTTACCAATTGTATTCTTGGTGACTATGGTCTCAGCTGCCTTGAGATCATTAACAAGATCCTCCGTGTAGTTTTGGGCTGATTCCTCATCATTCTCATGATCATTGAAACTCCACCAGGTAAGATCTTGCATGGAGCACCAGACCGAGGGAGACTGACAGTTATTTTGTGTTTCTTCCATTTGCGAATAATCCACCAACTGTTGTCACCTTCTCACCAAGCTGCTTGGCTATGGTCTTGTAGACCATTCCAGCCTTGTGTAGGTTTACAATCTTGTCCCTGACATCATTGGACAGCTCTTTGGTCTTGGCCATGGTGGAGAGTTTAGAATCTGATTGATAGACTGATTGATTGATTGATTGATTGCTGTTGTGGACAGGTGTCTTTGATACAGGTACCTAACTGAGATTAGGAGCACTCCCTTTAAGAGAGTGCTCCTAATCTCAGCTTGTTACCTGTATTAAAGACACCTGGGAGCCATAAATCTTGCTGATTGATAAGGTATCAAATACTTATTTCACTCATTGACATGCAAATCAATTTATAACTTTTCTGACATGCATTTTTCTGGATTTTTTTGTTATTCTGTCTCTCACTGTTAAAATACAGCTACCATTAAAATTATAGATTGATCATTTCTTTGTCAGTGGACACATGTTCAAAATCACCAGGGGATCAAATACTTTTTCTCCTCACTGTATAAATTACAGTTTTACTCAGCACACTGTTCCAAGCATAACCAGTTCACACTCAGACTGATTGGCCAATAGTGCCGACCTTAATCCCCATCCCCTGGCTTTAGGTGACTGCAAGAGCCTGTTATCCTTACATATATATATACAGTTGCAAGAAAAAGTATGTGAACGCTTTGGAATGATATGCATTTCTGCACAAATTGGTCATAAAATGTGATCTGATCATCATCTAAGTCACAACAATAGACAAAGAATGAAATGTTGCCATGTTTTTATTGAACACCCCATGTAAACATTAACAGTGCAGTTGGAAAAAGTATGTGAACCCCTAGACTAATGACATCTCCAGGAGCTAATTGGAGTGAGATGTCAGCCAACTGGAGTCCAATCAATTCGATGAGATTGGAGGTGTTGGTTACAGCTGCCCTTCCCTATAAAAAACACACACCAGTTCTGGGTTTGCTTTTCACAAGATGCATTGCCTGATGTGAATGATGCCTCGCACAAAAGAGCTCTCAGAAGACCTACATACTTTTTCTTGCAACTGTATATAGTGCCAAAGACGTAAAATATATAAATGCACTTTCACCCTGGAACATACTGTAATTACGACCTTTAAGGATAAGACCGGTTATCCAACCACAGTTGTACATGGTCAATGCCTTGTCACGCAAGATGTACTCCACATATTATACAGACAGAGCCGACTTTAACGCGGGGCAAACGGGGCAGCTACCCCGTGCCCTGTTACTCTTGGGGGGGCCCAAAGCAGCTGCCCCGTGGGCCCCGCTGTCCTCAACTACTTTTTTCACCCATGGACCAGCCCAGGGCCGTCTTTAATGTGGGGCAAATGGAGCAGCTGCCCCAGGCCGAGTTACTCCTGGGGGGCCCAAGGCAGCTGCTCCATGGGCCCCGCTGCCTTGAACTATTAATTTGTTTCCCATATGAGCTCCCAGTGCAGCTTGGGGCCCGCAGAATAAGGAGATCCATCAGGTGGCCCATGCACTAAGGGACACTTGTGCAGGAGAGACCAAGAAGGCAGAGAGGAAGGGGGCAGAGATGGGGAGGGCCTCAGCCACCACTCTGGACATCAGGGAAGAAACGGGCGGTGGGTTTAAAAGTGTAAATCGTGTCTGTGTGTAAATGTTTGTCAGTATGCCTGTCAGTGTGTGTGTCAGTATGTATGTCAGTGTATGTGTCTGTGTGTCAGTATGTGTGTCGATATATGTGTATCAGTATGTCTGTCAGTTTGTGTCTATGTGTGTCAGTATGTATTTCAGTAGATGTGTCAGTATGTCTTTCAATGTTTGTGTCGGTGTGTGTCCATATGTCTGTCAGTGTGTGTGTGGGTGTCAGCATGTCTGTCAGTGAATATATGTGTGTCAGTATGTTTGTCTGTGTGTTTGTGTCAGTATGTCTGTCAGTATGTATGTCTGTGTATCTGTGTCATCTGTGTTAGTTTCCCAACTGTGTTGGGGTGACAGGCGTGATTGCATGTCAGGGAGTGGGGGGGCAGGGCCCAGGAGGCCCAAGACAATGCTTCGCCCAGGGTCAAATTAATATTATAGATGGTCCTAGGCCGCCAATGCAACAGGCGGGCCGCACACTAAAGAGGCCCACCGGGTGGTCCATCCACTAAGGGCCACCCAGTGCGCATTTGTAAGCAGGGGCTCGGTCACACGCTATGGCACTTTAACAGCGCGGCTGGGCCCCTTGCTTTTGGGCAGCGCTGGATGAAGTGACTGCCACAAGCCACTTCCTCCCACTAAGGAAAGGAGCCGAGTGGGAGACGGAGGAGGCAGGGAGGAGGGAGGCTGGGTCGGAAGAGGCAAACCCAAACTCCCAACAGCCTCCAGACTGGACACCGGGGAAATCACACTCTAATGTAGGAAACTGGATGGTGGGTTTGAAAGTGTAAATTTATGTCTGTGTGTGTATGTCAGTTTGTCTGTCAGTGTATGTGTCTATATGTCTGTCAGTGTATGTGTCTGTGTCAGTATGTCTGTCAGTGCATGTATCTGTGTCAGTATGTTTGTCAATGTATGTGTTTGTGTCAATATGTCTGTCAGTGTATGTGTCTGTCTGGGTCAGTGTGTATATCAGTGTATGTCAGTACGTCTGTCAGTGTATATTTCTGTGTGTGTCAGTATGTCTGTCAGTGTATGTCTCTATGTATGTGTGTCAGTATGTCTGTCAATGTATGTCTGTATCAGAATGTCCGTCAGTGTATGTGTCTGCATGTGTCAGTATTTCTGTCAGTATGTGTTTATATGTATGTTTCAGTATCTGTCAGTGTATGTGTATGTCAGTATGTTTGTCAGTGTTTGTGACTGTCTGTATCATGATGTCTGTCAGTGTATGACTCTGTGTATGTGTGTCAGTATGTCGGTCAATGGGTGTCTGTGTCAGTATGTCTGTCAGTGTATGTGTCTGTGTGTGTCAGTATGTCTCTCAGTGTATGTTTCTGTGTATGTGTGTTAGTATGCCCAAGCAAATGGTTGCCCAGGGTCTGGTCAATATGAAAGACGGCCCTGAATACAGAGTTTTATGATAAAACAAAACCCACAAAAAACTATTCATAGAATGTTCAATTGAATCCTTCATATTGAGACACTGTTTCTATTGCTATACGAACCTTACATTAATGCATTTCGTTTTGCTATTTCTGTATCTATGAATTGAACCCCAAAAAAAGAATAAAAAAAATAAAAATAAGAAAAAGAGATTTTGATCCATACTGCTCATTTGTAATGTCAGTAATAACCCTCCCAAAACTCTAAAATTACCATATTTATTATAAACTTATGTCTATGCACAAACTTCCTCAGGATGATGGTAATTAAAAATAACTGGAGACTCTCTGGGGTGCTACATGATGTGTATAGGTTTTTCTAATGCATACTTTTTGGTGAAAAAATAAGTTTGATAGAAAAACATAAAGGGACACTTTAAGCACTTAAACAACGTCAGATTAATGAAGCTGTGTTGGTCTATAGATCATGCACATGCAATATCACTTTTCACACAGGTCTCTGCTGTATAGGGGTTAAATCACTTTGTTTATGAAGCCCTAGCCACAACTTCTTATTGCACAGTGTGTTTAATTTAGAAGTTCTTATTTTCTGCTTTATTAATTGAACTTTATTCGCTTACAGGAGACTGCTGATGGCTCTAGCAGACTATTAACAGAGCAGGAGATAAGAAATTGTAAATTAAAACCCCCTGTGTAATATAGGAGGCTAAAATATTAGACCTCTTTTTCAGAAAGTATGTAAGGAGGCTGTGTGTGTCACAGCTAGGAGATGTGTGGCTAAGGCTGCATATATTGTGTGATTTAACTTCAAAATAGCAAAAAATTAAGCAGTGACAAAGCAGGGGATGACCTATATACCAAAACCACCTCATTATGTGGTGCTTAGAGGGTCCATTAAGGTATAGTTATGGGATAATTATTAAGTGCCTAATACATATTTGGGATGCAGAATGCCGGGAACAGAAATGAAATTGATGCTGAAATTTAGGAAAATATAGATTTTTGCAGACATAAGTATAGTAAAAGTACTTGAAAGAAATGTGATGCCTAAAGAATATCAAATCACCAAAATACTTGATCATTTTCCATGAATGATGTAGGGTAGTATACATTAGATTAATAACTGCTGATAAATAATGTTATACATTCCATTACAGAACTGGCATTTCCAAATGTCAAGACTCTGTGCATTAGATGAGGTCATGCAGTTATATATAAAGTGGATGTAAACATTGCAGTTAATTTTTCTGTTGTTCAGGATAATAAACAGGCTCTTACATTTTCCAATTATGCAGTGATAGAATATTCACTGTGCAATATACAGGTATTATGTTCTAGCCATTTGTATATATGACAAACCAGTCCAGTTATTATTATTGTTTAATGACATTCAACAACAATGCACTGTAGGCAATTGCAACACATACTAAGTTTTAGTAAACACATTTTAGACATGCTCAAGGAGAGTTATCAAAGTATTCTGTGGCAGTGTACATCTGTGCAGAGGCGCCTCTCTAATGAGGCGGTTTAGGCGTCCACCTAAGGCTTTGTGCTGGCTGGGGCCTCACGGCCGCCTAAATCACATTAGGGCAGACTGTGTCAGGTCCTCTGTCAGTGACTGAGGACTTGACACGATGAGGGGCCTGGCGGCATACTTTGTGTGCCACCAGGTGCAAGGCCTCTTTGTGCCGTCTGCCCGGCCAAAGAGCACCCATCGCAGACACTGGTCTGCAGCTCAGCAGTGTGCAGAGCTGCAGACCATGTGTCTTGCGAATTCTGGCCAATCAGAGCGTTGCCACGGGTTACCAACGCAATGCTCTGACTGGATCTTGCGAGATACATGGTCTGCAGCTCTGCAGAGCTGCAGACCAGATATCAGGGCCACCGGACCACCAGGGAGCTAAAACAGGTATTTAGTCCCTCAGACAATCACCCCTCCCCCCCCCAAACCATCATCATCCCCCCTCCCTTTACACCACCATCACTCCCCCCTCCTTCACACCATCATTACCCCCCCTTTTTATTTATTTATTACAATTTATGCTACAACTACAGTCAGAGAGCTCACAATGCAGGGGCACAGGAAGCTGCAACACGGCAAGTTTCTAAACAATGAATGCAGAGACTGATTCTCTGTATCCAGCACTGCAAGTCCACCTTTCAATATAGTGACTGCTCCTTATACACACAAAATTCAACCCTATATTTTTCACTTTGGGTGTTCATGGAGCCTCATGTTTGACTTTTGTCTAAGGCCTCATAAAGTCTAGAGCCGCCCCTGCATCTGTGAGTGTGTGTCTGCAAATACATATATATGTGTGTTTGTATGTAGGAAAATGTATGTCTCGGTGAGTATGCATTTGTGTGTAAGTTTGCCTTTAAGTGTATGGTGGGGCAGCCTCCAAAAATTTCAGATGTCAGCCCTGCTCGCATCATACAAAAAGAAGCATGTCCCTATTCAGAAGGGACAGTCCTTATTTTAGGCCTAAATCCTGATGTGCCTCTTTTATATCCTAATACCTCTCTTTTCTAGAAGTTCGAAATGATTGGTGTGTCTGAGTGCCTAACAGAGCTTAACAGCAATAATACACCCAGTAATCCCAGTAATGTGTCTTTCAACTACCATAAATGTGTTTATTGATCAGTCTTTGTAAATAAGAAACATTGTTTTTGTTCTAAATTACATCTTCATTCCAAAATTGTTATTAGTAAGTCACCTAAAATGTCCCTGCATTTGGCAACACCCCAACTCACAGCCCTAAAATAAAAGTGTCCCTCTTTGTCGATTTGAAATCTTGGGATGTATGTGACACAATAGGTGAAAGATCAGTTGGCGAAGGGAATTAAACAAAAATCCATCACTAGAAATTAATACAGACTGGAAGGTACAAATTTGTATGCTACTAAATAAAATTGAGGTACTTTATACCCATAGCCCAAACCCTTCTACACCACTTCATTGTATTTATTTTATGCCAAGGTCAAAAGAACACTAACGCTAATTAAAAGGATGCTCCAGTCTGGAACTGACCAATTTGTATTTTTGCTAAACAATTTATTAATATAATATTAAAACATACTTTTGAAGGTTATCCATTTGCTCTGAAAATCCAAATTTCTTCAGCTCCTGCAATGGGCTCTCACCAAACGTCAGGTTCAGTTACTTAAAAGCATACTATAGTCACCAAAACAACTTTAGCTTAATGAAGCAGTTTTTATGTATAGATCATGCCCCTGAAGTTTCAATGCTCACTTCAGAAGTTAAATCACTTTTGTTTCTGTTTATGCAGCCCTAGCCATACCTCCCCTGTCTGTGACTGACACAGCCTGCATGAAAAGCAAAACAAAATGGTTTAATGTTCAATAAGGTGTAACAAACTTTACAAGGTTTTTATATCCTGCTCTGTAAATTGAACTTTAATCACTTATAGGATGCTCCTGCAGGGTCTAGCAAGCTAGTAACAGATCGGGAGATAAGAAATTCTAATTTAAACAGAATTTGCAATAAAGGAAGTATAAACATTAGATGACTCTTTACAGGAAGTGTGTATGTCACATGCAGGGAGGTGTGCCTGGGCTGCATAAACAGTGATTTACCTCTTATATGGCATGGAATTGGGCAGTGAGCAGAGGCATGATCTATACTCCAAAACTGCTAAATTAAGCTAAAGTTGTTTTGGTGACTATAGTGTCCTTTTAAGTTTACTTAGATTTTCATTGTACTGCTGAATCCATTACATAAGTAGTGCTGGGTGTTAGAGATCAATTGTCATTATTTCTAATGTAGAGGGATAAACTACAACTCCCAAAATGAATCAACTTTGAGGACAACAGACTGTATGGAGGAAAAGGGCGATATACTGTAGGGTGGGTGGGTAGTTAAATCTTCTGGACAAAATCTAATTGCTGTTTAAAATAAAATAAAAATCCTTCAGTTATAACTAACCATAGCCTAACCCACACAATGCCCCTAACATGTATTTGTGCCTCAAATACTTTTTAAATACCATCACATTATAGGGAGTTATTTACTTATTGACTTATTGATTAATGGATAGATTCATCACAATCTAGACAATGTTTTTTTGTTTTTTTAAATTAGCTCATGGTGTTCATATTAATTCAATGAGGCCTTCTTCAAAAGAAACTTTGTCTCTTTATATTTTTTTTATTAGATTAGAAGAAATCTTCAAACCATAATGGTAAATTCAGGCCCTGCAGGAGTTTGAGAGCTACATTTTCATTGATGCTAATGCTAGGCTGGTTGATTATTCCAGAAAATGTACTCCGTAAACTATAAAACATAGTTAGCATTCAATATATTAACTGAATATGATTTTATTTTAAAAATTTTGGCCACTGTTGTACATATTTATTGTGATTTCAACTACTACAAACAAAAATTTTCTGTCCAATCACTTCCACCCCCCCAAAAAAAGTATTGTCTTTGCATTAAATATTGGGTCCTACAGTTAAAATCTCTGTTTTGGCAAATTAATTGAAGAAACTTTGGAATGGAAATTCATAATAAAGCATTGAAAATTCAGTAGCCAATCACTAATTAATAATTGACAGACATGTTTCTCTATGTATTGTTGTTTTTGCTTCTATATGCTGGTGCTGCTCAGCAAGTCATTTATGTTCTTTTTGATTTAATTTCTTTAGTTTTTTGCTTTGTGGGATTCCTCTTTTTTTTTTCTCTCTCTCTCAGAATAACGGTTCTTTTTGGTTTAGCAGCCGTTATCTGTTGCTTACAGATCTAATTTAGTTGAAACTGCTCAAAGCGCATTACTCTTTAAAGATGAGGTCATCGCTGTCTGTGCTGCTACATTCTTTTTTTCAAGCTAAAATAACCAATCGCTGGTTTAGAATGCTTAAAAGCCACAGCTACAGCAGTCAAAGGAAACCAATTTATGATAGCATCAATTTACACATCAATTTGAATCTGAGATAAAGCCTTCTGCCAGTTACTCTTGTGACAGAAATGTAGATTTTATTTTAAAATAATTTAAACAATGATTGGAAACCTAATTACACCCATTACAATTATCTCACATGATAAGTAATTTTAGTAACATTAGTTCTAGCTTAAATAATAACAATATAAATATATATTATATATGTATATATATATATATATATATGTATATATATATATATATAAATATATGTGTGTGCATATATATATATATATATATATATACATATAGAAAATCCAATGCTTGCACTCCTGTTAAGAGATAATCGGCCTGGTGCTGGTCAGCAATAAATATAAAATAAGTAGTGTAAAGATAGCACTCCAAGGACTTCAGAAATAAATACTTCTGAAGTCCTTGGAGTGCTATCTTTACACTACTTATTTTATATATACATATATAGAGAGAGAGATAGACACTTAAAAACTATTCTGTCATTATGTATTTTCAAGCATGTGTACACACGCACACACACAAACAAACAGATACATACTTTTTTTAAAAAAGTGCAAATTCCCAAACAGACATAGATATGTATTCCTAGACAAACTCACAGACACACACATCAACACTGTAAGATACATCCACAGACTGTCAGTAACAGACTGTCAGTAACGGACAAACATGGGATCCTGTGTGCTGGGAGGAAGTGATAGCACATTACATCTTCCCTAATTGACTCGGAGTACAAGAGGAACCAGTACTTCTCTCAGGTGTTTATTTGTTCTTTAATTGGTAGACATGTGCTTCCGAATGTCCGAATTACCGAAGTGCTGAATTGCCGAATTTCGGAAATGCCGAACTGAACCGAATTGCCAAAGTGCCGAATTTTGGAAGTGCCGAAGTGCTACGGATTTCTGAAAAGTGGCAAAACAGGAGAGGGAGGGAAAATTAAGGGAATGATGACAGGAATCTCAGAGTGGTCACAGGCTAGAAAGCATACACGTCGATAAACTGTGTCAAATGCACACATATATTACATTGTATGTAGTTTTTAATGCATATGTTTTTTGTCTTGTGTTGATAATTGCTTTGGGGCTTCTGTGATGGGCTGCACTTTGACACGGGCAACCTAGCACATGGTTGCAAACGGCTGAGTCTCTTATTGTTGCTGTACTTGTGCTGGTGTTACTAGTCAGTTTAGCATTATAAAGGGTTAGGTTGAAGGGGCTGGTGGCAACAGTGAGCTGGGCACTTGGCATTAACAATATATATTTAAAATTCACCATCATTTTGCGTTATTTTGTCATCTCATATGCCAGTAGAGTTGTCATATTTTCCATTTTATCACACATTCAAATAAATAGCATCCGAACGCTTATTTTCATTGTGCTTTGTTCATACCAGAATTTACTAGACGTAGATAAATCTAACACTTATTATTCTCACTATGCAATTATTTCATGCTCCCTATTCCTTAGCCTTTTCTAAGGGCAACCAATCTTAAAAAAAATGAAAAATCTAGTGTTCAAATTTATCAATGACAACTTGAATCTTAATCTTTCTCCAGATTCCCGGATAGCCTTAATAAATGACCCAATTGAAAGACTGAAAATAAGCCGCTGTAGATTAATCATCCATATTGTCTCGGCAGCTAAACAAGGCTTAGCGACTCAATGGCTCCTAACTGACCTAAATTATTCATTAGTGATCAATAAGAGTGAAAAAATACTATCTGCTGAAAAGATAACTGTGGAGAAAGCAAACTCCTCCCAGTTTCAGACATGCAGGAGAGCCTGATTATTCTGACGTAATGGGGAAATTCATAGCCAGTGTATGCTCTGTGTGTTTCTACCAGCCATAGGTTTATGTGTAAATTGCACACGTATTCATGTCTCCTTGTCATATACTTGTTTTTGATTGTGCCTTTACATATGCTTATCTTGATACCCTATTTCAGTGTTTCCATTTTGAAAACTGATATAGATGCAGCAATGATCTGCCTGTAAAATGTTTGTCTACAGTTCTGATGATATTCTACAAACATGTATTGAATTTATGCCACAATCCTCTTTCTAGGTAGTTTTTTTTGTAATAAAAATACGTTTAAAAATATATATTTTTTTAAACCACTGGACATTATAATACCTTAATGTTAGATGGTTCATCTTTTCATGTACGTTGCACTGCTCCATAGCAGCATCAATTCATATTACTCTATTTACAGAATGTTTGCATTGAAATAAATCCTTGCAAAGCTACATAACTTATAAAGTATAAGGAAAGGTGTGCGCATACTATAAAAAAAAAAAAGAAGGATTTTGCGTTTGTTCCAACGTTTTAAACACGGGTGCAAAGATCAAGGATTCGTTCCTTTGGAGCAGATCCACCATACATAACATATTCCATATAAGTCAATGCACACAACAATCCAATGCATATGTATGTAATTTTTTTTCATGTGGTATACAAAATCATAGACAAAAAAAAATGATACGCATACTATAAAATATATACAAAACTTGCTCAAAGCATGTCGTCAACCCTATCATGCTCAAACATACAACCAAAACACCCATAGTATGGTAGAGGTAGATAACCATAAAAGAAAATAAACAAACAAGGCAGTATGATGGAAAAACATTAGTGGCTTGGTCCTGGTGTTAACAGTCTTCATGTATCTACCCCTAATTTTCATGATTACTTCGTGTTTACTTCCTTGTTATTTGATTTATACATATGTGTATACCAGGTTATATGGTATATATATTAATTTGAGCATGTATTGCAGGGACATTGCTAGGGTCAAAACAAACCCAAAAATTATTTGGTGATCCCCTTCCTTAAACCCAACCTCTGGCCCCTCCCCAAAATCCACCCGTTAACACACCTTTTGACACACTCACAGTTATTTACAAGCACACCCAGGCACACAACTACACAACTATAGGCACACAAATAGGAGCACATAAGCACAGACAAAGATAGAAATAGGTACCCAGAGTCAGGCACACAAAGGAACACACTGGTACAGATTGGCACAGACAGGCAGACACAGATACAGACAAGTACACATAGGCACAGACAGAGAAACAGGCACAAACATAGACATATATACAAACAGAAAGGTATACACAGACCCAGAAAGACACAGACAAGAAGAAAGAGGTACACACAGATACAGATAGACACAATCCTGTATACACTCACAGGCACAGCTAGACCAATACTGGCTCCCTTCCCTGTTCCTTGGAGGCCGTCATCATGCAGGGGATTGGATGAAAGAAGCTGGCCAATCAGTACCCATTTCAGAGCCAACACCCACAAGCCTTATGTATGGAGAGCAGGCAGTTGTCCTCCTACCCAGCTATTTATTGTTCAGCTCTCTTGTACCCTCTGCCTATTGCTGTGTGCTCTCCCTGGCCGGTCTGCTCAATTCGATTTTGCCAGGACTGGAAGCATGGCAGTAATAGAGATACATAAATAGAGCATCATATTCTCTGCATCTCTATCTCTGCACTGCTTGCGCTGCTGCCAGACTCATTTCTAACAATAGTGGGCAAGCAGAGCTTTAACAGTCACTTAAAATGGATTTGGGGCTACAGGGCCTTACATTCTGGACACTAGTTTCCCCAGCCTCCTCTCCAAGCAATGTGCCTGATGTATTATGTATATTGTGCAATATGTGTATATTGTTGTTTTTTGTGCATGACTATGTTAACCAGATTAACTAATACTAAGCTAAATACAGATATCCAAGAGCAGAGATTACACTGTTTGTGATTCACTCGTTTATTTGAGAGTAATAACTTAGCTTTGATACTCAATAGCCAATTTTAGACATTCTTTATGAATTTGTGTCATCCCGTACCATGCCTTTATCCATATCCATGTATCTCAGATTTGAGTTATATTGCTAACACCCATACCTTAGGACATTGAAATGTTCCCATAATCCTCCAGTTTACCTCTTCCAGTCATACGCGCAATTTATCACCTCATTCATTTTATCCTGACTTATATCCCAATAGCCTTATTTCTTAAATTCACCCATCTGCTATATTGTATCTTAAAGGGACACTATAGTCACCAGAACATCTTTAGCTTAATGAAGCAGTTTTGGTGTATAGAACATGCCCCTGCAGCCTCACTGCTCAATCCTCTGCCATTTAGGAGTTAAATCCCTTTGTTTATGAACCCTAGTCACACCTCCCTGCATGTGACTTGCACAGCCTTCCATAAACACTTCCTGTAAAGAGAGCCCTATTTAGGCTTTCTTTATTGCAAGTTCTGTTTAATTAAGATTTTCTTATCCCCTGCTATGTTAATAGCTTGCTAGACCCTGCAAGAGCCTCCTGTATGTGATTAAAGTTCAATTTAGAGATTGAGATACAATTATTTAAGGTAAATTACATCTGTTTGAAAGTGAAACCAGTTTTTTTTTTCATGCAGGCTCTGTCAATCATAGCCAGGGGAGGTGTGGCTAGGGCTGCATAAACAGAAACAAAGTGATTTAACTCCTAAATGGCAGTGAATTGAGCAGTGAAATTGCAGGGGAATGATCTATACACTAAAACTGCTTTATTTAGCTAAAGTAATTTAGGTGACAATAGTGTTCCTTTAAATAATGCTCATAACTATATGCCCCTAATTAGCCTCCATCTTCTTCCTTCCTCTTCAAAAATGTTCATAGTTTTCTCAAAACTGTGTCTCAAAAGTATGTTGAAAAATAAACTGTATTCAAACCATGATGTATATTTTTTTGTATTGCTCCTTTGATGTTGCATCTACTTTCTGGTTTTGACACAAATAATTTGAAAAATACAACACATAATTAAATTTTCAAGGACTTACAACTCACTCTTAAAATAACAACTAAACAGGGTGCCATCAATCGAATTTTAAAGTAATTTTAAAATGCCACTTAAATATATTTTAATTGATTTCTACTGTATCTTCCTCATTATTTTCTTTACAGAAATCGGACAATGGTGCATAATTCATATTCGGTCACATAATTCTTTCCTGCTGTTTTGGGACAAGTAGGTCCGAAGGTAAACAGAACAGTAAATATCTCACAGCATAGACATATAGATTTTCTCTGGGAAAATGATGATGCAGTACAAAACAGATGTACTTTCTGTACTTCTAACACAAGGCTTGCATATTCCATACACATCCCCAAAAAGAAAATAAACAAGATCCATAAACTGCAACCTTTCATACTACCCCTATGTGTTGGTCAGAAGACAACATTCTTTACAGATTGCCTCAAGGGTTGAGATAACACTACATGACTCTATTTTATAGAAATAGACTCAACAATTCTTTGAAAGTATTCACTGAAATATTTAAAACAACTTAATTATGTAGTGAATTCCACATCTTAACTGTCCTTACTGTAATTAAAGAAAATATATACATAACTTAATATGTACCTGCTTGATCTGGTTTTGCTGTTGATCAAACAGAAGGCTAATAGCCCAGTTTAAAGCACTTTCCAGTTTTGCAACATAGTAGGAAATAATCCTTATTGACTACAGAATGGCAGTCAGATCTCCTTGGAACAAGAAGCTATTACCCCACAAATTAAAAAATATATCCCAGGCTATTATGTTTTTGCAAGTATTCATCCAGTTGCTGTTTAAACATCTGTGCAGACATTGATAAAACCACCTATTTAGGCAGAGAATTCCTAATTCTTATTGTTCCTATTATAAAAAAACTTTTTATTTTGCCTTGGAGTAAATTTCCTTTCTTCCAGTCTAAATACATGACATGACCTTGTGTAATATGTATAGTTGTGCTTATGAATAGATTTCAAAACAATGGTTTGTATTGGCCTGAATATATTTGTATAATGCTATCATATCCTCTCCTGTGTCTCAATTTTTACAAACTAAACAGATTTCAATTTGTTATTTTTTCTTTATAACTAAATACTCCATTCCTTTTATCAAAACAGCAAATGGAGGGACAGTGCTTCTTCACCCATATTGATAACGCCGATTGGCGAAACGCGTTTATGGTTTTTTATATTGTGTAATGTTACAATTAAAGTATATTTTATAATCTTTTATTGTACCACTTATCCTTTAATACACATATAATTATTATTACTACCTGGCATCATTCGCTGGGCTCCAAGCAATCCTAGGTGGGGATTATTCCACCAGTGCGAAATATCAGGAGCAGTTGACCTGCTCCTGTCTTGTGAGTATCCATTTTTTATTTTATATTTTATTTCAAGTTTTATGCAGAGAACACTATTGGCTGTCTCTTTTTATTTGAGCATCTCTCACACTACGGAAGGAGGAAATACGTGAAGGATAACCATCCCATATCCCATAAGCGGGGATCTAAACCGCTGTACGCCTTCTATACCAGAGCAGGTTCTAGCTCTTGGATATGTGAGTTTGCAATCAAGCTTTATATTTTATTTCTTTCACACTAAGACATACTACACCATTGTGGTTCTGTATTTGTTTTTATCTCTTGCATACGAGACGGTCCACAAGAAAGACAGAAAGCAAGATTATTGTTTCGGACTAAGCACTACGGACATTGCAAGATAAGACCTTCTTCCCTTTTATTCATTTATTTTTTCTGGACTTTTAACACCTTTTATCTAAGCGCAGCCCCTTTTTTTTTGTATTCTTTGTGTTTTATCCTAAAGGGTTTTTGAGGGATTCCCTTTTAGGGTCGCTGCTTATTGTGTTATTTAGCGCTTACTCATTGTTTTAAAATTATATTTTCATCCAGAGAAGTAATGACCCTATTTTTGCATGACAATACCTGACTGGCCTTAGCAACTGATGATTTACATTGCATATTGTTGCCTAATTTATTGTTTTTATTATTATTATTACTATTGGTACTTATATAGTGCCAGCTTATTCCGCAGCGCTTTATAATAAGAGGGGAATTTACCAAATGAGACAATAACAAAATGTAACAGGAACAATAGGTAGTTGAGGCCCATGCTCAAACGAGCTTACAGTCTAGAGTCTTTAACAATTCCCAAATACTTCTCGTTTGTTGTTATTCCTAATTCACTACAATTTAGGGTATATGTTGCATAACTTTTTATACATTACATTTAATTTGCCATTTGATTGCCCAGTCCCCCAATATATCTAAATCCCTTTGCAGCAAGGCAAATTCCTGCTCACGTTGTATTACTTTACAGAGTTTTGTGTCATCTGCAAACACTGAAACATGGCTTTCAATGCCTATTTCAAGATCATTTATAAATATGTTAAATAGAAGTGGCTCCAGAATAGAACCCTGAGGGACATCACTTACCACTTTTGTCCAGTTTGAAAATTTACTATTAATGCCAACTCTCTGTACTCTGTATTAACAAAAGAAAGATGGGCACACCTGGTTAATAGCCATTAACGAAGGACTAAGAAAATTAAAATACGGCAGGGTGCTCACTCCAAAAGCTCCATTTCCAAAAAGCTATTAATAGAAACTCTCTGTACTCTGTCTTTAAGCCAATGTTCTACCCCAAAACAAGAATTTTCATCTAGACCAATGTCTTTTAATTTCAACACTAACTTATTGTGAGGAACCGTATCAAAGGCTGTGGCAAAATCCTAGTAGATCACATCCGCTGCAACTCCCTGATTTATACTTCTACTTTTGTTTCATAAAACCATGCTGATTATTGCTAATAACAATGTTCTTCCCAATGAATTCCTGAATATTATCCCTTAATAACCCTTTAAATACTTTCCCAGCCACAGTAGTTAAGCGCACAGGTCTGTAATTTCCAGGCAAATATTTTGAACCCTTTTGGAATACAGGAACCAAATCTGCATTCCTCCGATCCTTGGTACAATTCCTGAAAGAAAAGAATCTTGATCATTTATAATCAAAAAGTAAAAGTCAGGAAAGTGTAAACTATCTTTAATTTAATTTATAGTTTCTTATGTACCAAATGTTTAAACCTTGCTTCTCAATTACCTAAAAAAAGTTAAACCTCATATTTTTGGGAAAATCGCTGCTCTTTCCTGAAGCCTGTAGCATCTTTTTCACATAAGTCTCCGATATCTCTTTCATTCTCACACATTTTCAGATATACTTCCCACCAGCTAGTGTGCATATATTAAAACAAACGACGCTTTTTTATGTTCAATTGTAAAGCCTATTATTTATTTGGAATGTTGTTAATAATGTAAATGTAGTCTATGTGTGTAAGTGTTTGTGGTACATAACAACACAACATCTGAATAGCTCTAAAAAGCCTTATTCCTTACGGCCTATGACCTAGTGCTGTATGTCAGAAATGCTCCTGACGCTCATCAAAAATCCTGACTTATTGTGTATAATGGCTTGTATAATTCTTGCCTTGGACATCCAGAATGCTAACTTCATAGTTGAAACTACTGAAAATGTTTTTGACTGCTCACAGTATTTGTAAGCTTGTGCAATGTACCTAACACAAACCGCCTTTTGATATTTTAAAAGGTCACTTCAATACACAAATGCCATATTTTATTGACTTAATGGTACTTTGCCTACAGCAATGTCAGAGGAAAGGGAATTGGGAGTTATCATTTAGATAGGTAGGCAAATATAGGAATGCATTGAAAAGTCCAGTAAGATAGATGATTATGGAGAAAACTATCCACAAAAATGGTAACTAATGTCTATGTAGAATGACTGCTGAGACATCACCCATAATACCGTGTCCACGACTATGGAGTAATATCTCAAGAACATCAACTATTTGGAGATTGTTCAAAGGAAAATACACTAAAATTGTGAGTAGTGTAAATAACATGACATGTTGAGAAACAAGACTTCATCTTTTTAAATATATATTTATGTATGTCTTGAAGGAGGAATGGCAGATGCGATGAAAACTTTACAACTACTCTGGGATTTGATAAAGTTCAAGATATGAAATTCAAAAGGGAAAAAGGAGGATTATTGGAAAACATGTGCATAGTTTATTATTTTTTCTGTTATTCAATATGTCTCTCCATTTTCTTTTTGCAGGCATCCAATAATAGAATGAAAATCTCATCTATGAATTATCAGGTCTATTTACCACGTTCAAAATCTTTGTACATGCCCACAATATACGACTATTTTAATGTTTAATATTTAATTTAATATTTTTGGGTACGATTTTCAAATGATGTAATATTTATGGATTTTTGTTCAAAGTATTGAAATATCATAAAATAGATAATATTTTTAAAAAGTTAAAATATTAGAACATTTAAACATTTTTCAAAATATGAAATCATTTGAAAAGTTTATTTGAAAATATTAAAGGCCAATATTGGACCAAAACAGCAATTGTATGGACAGAGAGGCATACAATGAAAAAGTAAATATACAGAAATGTGTTTTTGTTTTTATTTTTGTAAACATATTATAGGGACACTTTAGGCACTATAACAATTTCACCTCACTGAATTGGTTATAGTTATTTATTGATTGATTTTGAATTGGTTATAGTGCCTGAGGTTTCCTGGCACTGTCCCTCCATTTGCTGTTAAATCATTCTTAAATAGTCTAACAATGAATAAGGATCCCTGGTTGACATTAAAATAAATAAAAAGACCCCTCTAACCCACACAAGTATACACATATAGAAATACACACAATGACAATCACAACCTTTAAATAGTGAAACAGTGCAGATAATTAACAAAGATAAAAATAAGAAACAAACTTCCCTTGTGCAGAAAACTCAATCCTGAAGACTTCCTCAATCTTCAACCATAAATACAAAAAGCGCAATAGGGTCGGATCTCTTAGGGAAGATGAGAGGAAATGCACGACATAGTGCTTAACTATGTTGATTTTAAAATTAATGTGAGGTGTAATTGACCATTCACAATAAAGTGCAAAGATAATTTTAATCACTTACATATACGTTAAAAATAGCAAATGTGGCAGACTGGTGGACTGGTATTTTAACTGCCACATTTGCTAATTTTAAAATCAACATAGTTAAGCACTATGTTGTGTCTTTCTTCTCATCTTCCCCAGCAGATCCACCCTTATTTTGTTTTTTTGTATACACATATAGAGTCTTCAATCAGTCCTGAAAGTGTTACTTTAGAGATGCACACATTCACAGATGCATACATACAAACACTCACAGATACGTAACACGCCCTCAGTCACACACATAGACACATTCACACAGATACACACGTATACATAGATAAGGACACATATAAATATATATATATATATATATATATATATATATACACATATATATATATATAAAGCAAAAAGGAAAGAGATGCACTCTCAGGTCTTTGTAGAAAAAAACTCGATATTATTTAATAACAGGTAACATACATTTGATCGACGTTTCGACCTTTTCAGGTCTTCCTATATATATATATATGGACACACACTCACAAATACAGACACAAATGGCTGCACATTCATGGAAACACAAGTACACACTCATACACATTCAGGAATACATGCGGGTACACTCGCAGATACATGTAGGTAGGGTTAAAAAAAAAACGAAATTCTTACGTCATTAGTCTACTTTATACATGGATTTCTTGAATTTTTTGTCTGCTGTATACAACAGCTTTGAAACACAACTCGGGAAGAGGTAGGATAGTGCTGTTGACTTGAGGGAAGGATGCATATGGTGAGTGATCCATGTCTGTGTTCCTGATCCTGGTCCTGGTCCGTGTTCCAGATCCTGGCCCTTGTCCGTGTTCCTGGTCCTGGCAATTGTCTATGTTCCCAGATCCTGATCAGTGTTCCTTGATCCTGGTCAGTGTTCCTGATCTTGGTCCGTGTTCCTCATCTTGGTCTGTGTTCCTGGTCCACGCTCCTGAATTCCCGCTAATTCTTTCTGGCTTCTGACTTCTGGCTTCACCCTGACCACGCTTGAGCCGGCCATATTCATGTTCCCATGCCCAAAACAGTTCCATACACTCGACGACAAAACACTGCTGGACAATTTAAGATGGCTGTCGCCACATGTTTGAATCTGTTCCAGTTAAAAGTCCAAAGGGCAGAAACAGTACTTTTGAACATGGGTTATCACAGGGCCCATAGTCCCAGCATAGGACACTGGCAAGCAGGCCCATCCAAGAATTCATGGCAAACTCCCTTAAAAAGGGGAGTTTGTCACACTGCTTCCTGGCTACTTCTCTGGCTTCTCCACTTCCTCTGTAAAAAAAAGGCACCTGTGCCCTCACAGATCCCCCAAGTTCCCGTATCACTCTCAGACACCTGGGAGGGTTGTGTTTGGGTACCGCTCTACTATCCTTGTAATTTAGAACTTGTCATGGATTGTAAAGCATTTGAGGATAATGTTCCTTGGGACATTTGGTGGTATTTTAGGTGAGCCAGATATACAATATAGTTTCTTAACCACACGGCGAGAATGAAAGGCATCTATCGATGTAGTTGGGTCCATAGAGTCCAGCTGGAGACTTGGGGAGCTGGATGGGCCTCTAATTTAAGGATATTTGGTAAGTTTTGATGAAGTTCTGGAAAGCTGTGAAAAATGGTGTCTACTCAGGTTGGTTAGCAAGCTCCGCCACCACCTTTGATTTTTTAAAACTGATTTGTAGAAAAAATTTAAAGTGTAAACCTTTAACTACTATGTCCTGCACCCAGACCCTCTGTATGTCTCTTTGTCCTCCCCAGCTCATCTGTGTGACTCATTGTCCCATCCAGAACTTTGTGTGTCTTTTTGTCCCCCCCAGCCCATCTGTGTCTCTTTGTCACCCCACCCTGTGTGCCCCTTTGTCCCCTCCATTCCATCTGTGTGTCTCTTGTTCCCCAAGCCAATCTGTGTCTCTTTGTCACCCCCACTCCATGTGTCTCTTTGTTCCCCATACCCTCTGTGTGTCTTTTTAGCCCCCAGCCCTCTGTGTCTCTCTTTGTCCCCAGCGCCTCTGCGTGTTTCATTGTCAACCCCAGCCCGGCTGTGTGTTTCATGGTCCCCCAACCCTCTTTTGTTTCTCATTGTTCTCCCAGCTCCTCTCTGATTCTCTTTGTCCCACTCAGCCCTCTGTGTGTCCCTTTTCCCTCCCAGACTCGCTACATATATTTTTACCTGCCCAGCTCTCTGTGTGTCTCTTTGTCTCCTTTGCCCTTCTGTGTCTCTCTTTGTCCCCTCAGCCCTTCTGTGGGCTTCTTTGTCCCCCCAAGCACTTTGTGTGTCTCTATGTACCTTACTGATGTGTGGTAGAGGATCTCCTGTTTCCTTTACCCAGTCTGACAGGAAGTTGTTCGTTGAGAGCAATGAACAACTTCCTGTCAGACCGAGTAGAGGAAACAGTAGATCTTTTACTGATGTCTGCTTGGCTACACTACATGGAGTACCCAGCAGTAGGGGGAGGACTATGCAGTGTAGAGCACTCCTGCTGGTCACCCCACAGAGACATCCCTCTTGTTGGAGACATGGTTAAAGAGTGCTAGAGAAAGTTCAGGAGAAGACAGATTGATTTGCATGTCAACAGCATAGAAGTGATATGAGAAATAAAAATAACTGTTTGTTTACTAAGGGAGGCAGCAGAGATTGAGAACATATGTATAACACTGTCCAGTTTATTCAGTAAAGTGAGAATTCAAAGTGAATTTCACATTTAAAGCCAAGTAGCTGAACTGAAAGCAAAGCTGATTTTTTCTATTTCAACAGTTTTTACCTTGAATGTGAAATTCACTTTGAATTCTCACGTAAGTTAATTATTCTGTTTATATATAAGTGCTCTCCAAGGCATACTTGAATACAAGATAAATCTCAATGTATCCTTCCTGTTAAAACTTTTAATGAAAACTAAACAGGGACATGGTGACAGGAGGTGGAAGAGCTTCACGTGAGATAAGTCCCATTCTCCTTTCAGGTGCCACCATGGATGCACACATCACCGGATTTTGGAAAGGAGGGGTCTCTACACCTTTAACTCTATACATGTCCCATGGCCTGATATTTCATGCTCTAAAAAGTTCATGAATAATCAGACATACAAAAGGGAAACAAAAACACCACGTTTTGCACACAATGGTATCCATAATTTTGCAAATGTTATGTCATCATGACAGTGATTTTAATTCATGTGCTACTGTGCTGCCTCAAATGTAACTTATGCAGAATAAATATCGGTTCAGGCACTCCAGGATAACAAAAATAGCAGATTTATTAGGGGAAAAGGAGCAACGTTTCGACCCTACCAGTTCTTTATCAAGCTTGAAACGTTGCTGCTTTTGCTCCAATAAATCTGCTATTTTTGTTATCCCGGAGTGCATGAACCGTTATTTCTTCTTCATAAATGTTGCTGCTTTTGTTCTAATAAATCTGCTATTTTTGTTATCCCGGAGTGAATGAACCGTTATTTATTCTGCATATCTTGGAAGGGAGGCCTGGCCAGCCCTGGCATTAGAGCACCTGGGTTATTTGGTGAGTGCGGTATCCAGTACGTCTCTTCAAATGTAACTTAGGCCCAGCAAAAAGTCTGTGTCTGAAAAAAATGGGACAGAGCTGGGCACAAACCAAGGAATTTTATTGGAGTAACGCATATCTACACATATGTGTATCTACAAAAGATATCAATAGAATGATCAACTATCATTTTAAAAACACTATACAATATGTGTAATAAGAGAGAGGAAGAATAAACACATATTTTTTGTCCTTTAGTTAATGATCAAGCGGACATTATAAGCAGAGGTGTACATAGGTTACATGGCACCCAGAGCAGAAATGTATTTAGGCATCCCCTGTTCCTCCCCTCAACTGTCAAAATGAATTTGATGTCTCCCTCTGCTCCAGCCCCAACCCATTTTGCTAGGGAAATTACACACACATACAGACATTCATATACACCTACACATTCATATACATACGCACTTTCATGTAAACATACAATTATATATGTGGACATGGCCACATATACACAGACACACACATTAATAAACACACACAGACCCAGACAGACACATTAATATACATACACACAGACTCATACACACTTTCACATACACAAGCACACAGTCTTATACACACAGACATTCATATACGTACTCATAATTAAATCCATTAAATAAATAAAGAAATGATAATTTATTTTTAACAATGAGGTCAATAAGCCTCCCTATTCTTACAATGAGAGGGCGAGCTGCAGTCTAACCTCATCCCTGACGTCCAGTTGCGTCCTGCTGGGATCAGTCTCTGTACATTGATTACACAGCTCCCTGCTGCTTTTTAATGTTCCCAGGACTGGGATGTCATCATATCCCACCAACAGCACAGGGCACGCAAGGGAGCTGGGAAATTGCTGAAGAGTGCTTGTTGCAGCTCTCTTGTAACCCTGCACTACAGCTATTTCAAACAGCTGGAGAGCAGGCACCTACTGTGCAGTACTTCCACCAGCACCCCGTTACTGCTGGGCGTACCACCCGCCACTTTATCTCCTTTGCACACCACTGATTATAAGTAAATTAGATACATTCCATCCAATATTTCAGTTTAAATGTTACTCAAAAACAACAAAGAAAATCAGGAGGACTAGTTGTGGTTTATTATAAAAACTGATGTTAAATCCTACATATAGTTGACAGTTATTTTGGTTTTGTGTTTTTGTAAGTCTTGCACGTAGAAGCAGATATTTACATAGTGACATCTAATTTGGTAGAAAATAAATTTATAACTGGAAAATCTGTGTGGACTTTCACTTTCAAAACATTCCTTTTGTTCCTACATTAACAGGCTCCCTGCGGTGTTCAAAACTTGAGATTCTTTCATGCACTGAAACTGATCAGATGAAAGAAATAAAATGAATCTTTCTGGAACTAAACAGCATGGGTTTTGTTAATTTCATTTCAAATGCATTGAAGTCGTTCCACTTATATATGTTGGCTACATAGACACGTATTTGTAAGATGTTTATCTTGGCTTAATAAAAACACAAATTTAAATATCACATATATTATCTGGTCACTGTCAAATATCCTGTTTAAATGTCCTATTTACTTTTGAAAATGTAGAAATAAGGATTTTGGGGTTTAAACAGTTCCCTAACCTGACTTTGCCTATCATTTAAAGTGGCTTACAATCTTTATAGTGGTTATTTGAGTGAAAGCACATCCTGACAGATGGGAACCGATAGTAAAATGCTATTTTGCCACATTGTAGGCCTATATACAAGGGTTTGAAAGGAATAGTGTCACGTCTCTAAATTCCATAGGCATGATATGCGAATGTCCATGTGTTAAAAACAAAACTCCAACAAACATGCATGTACGGAGCATCATGGGAAGAAGTCTCTATCTCCCTACGGTTCTCTGACGGTGCAATGGAGGTTTATTTTTAACTCTCTGTCTATCTCGGTCTGCTGGCATCTTTCCCTCTTCCCTTAAACATGCAAACATCAATTCCATCCTAAAAAAGCGATATTTTAACCCCACTTCTAATTACCACCCTATTTCACTCCCCTTCTTCACTAAGCTTCTTGAGCAATCTGTGTTTACCCATCCAACTCACATTCTCAATATTAACCCTCGACTCTACTGATACTGCTTTTATCAAAGTGACTAATGACTTAATCTCTTTTAAATTGCATTACTCTCTGTAAATTTTCCTTAACAACTCTGATTCCTTTGGTACTGTAGTTACCTT